TCAACACATCCCAACACATCTCAACACATCTCAACACATCTTCACGCATCTCAACACATCTCAACACATCTTCACACATCTCAACACATCTCAACACATCTCAACACATCTCAACACATCTCAACACATCTTCACACATCCCACAACACATCTCAACACATCTCAACACATCCCACAACACATCTCAACACATCTTCACACATCTCAACACATCTCAACACATCTCAACACATCTCAAACACATCTCAACACATCTCAACACATCTCAACACATCTCCACACATCTCCACACATCTTCACACATCTTCACACATCTCAACACATCTTCACACATCTCAACACATCTCAACACATCTCAACACATCAACACACATCAACACACAGCTGTCACAGGCTTCTTATTTTGTGCCTCCTGTACGTCGATTGGGACAGTCAAAGGGAAATCCTCAATGATTTTTCCCAGCCTCATCAAACATAGCAAATTTAGAGGCTCAAAACGCTCTAAAGCTAAATTGAAAACAAATAGTGAGAGATTGAATTAATCATAGCAGAGTCCCTATCGACATCAGAGTTTGTCCCGGGCTTCGCACAGCAGGTCCCTTGTGTTGTGCACTTTTGTCTGCATCAACACCTGAAGCACTCAAAGCATTTGCACAGTTTTGAGAGTTTGGGATCACTGGCACTGAAAAATCTGAGGTGCTCAGGTGCTCAATATCTGGATGCGCTGAAACGGCCACAAGTGGAATCAAGTGGAATGGCTTCTGAAGCTTTGCCGCTTGGAAAAGAAATGCCTGCTCCAGCAGAAAAGGAAGTGGCACTTCACTGGTGTCCTTGACTTTGAGTCTCTCCAAAGCTGACCGGAAGCATACGAAGCATAAACCATGCATAGACCAAGCATAAAGCAAGTATAAACTTCAATTTTGAACCTTTTGTGTCTTCTGTAAGATTCTGTAAGATTCTGTACGTCTTTTTGAATTTGTCAGGTCGTCCTCAAGTTTCAGCACCATATCAAAGTCGGGTCGTTCTTTGCTTAGCCAGGCCTTGGAGGAGGAAAGACTTTGGACGGACCAAAGGATCCAAGGTTTCATGAAGTTTCATGAGTCTCATAGTGAATTCTTTGCACACAGACTACTTGCACTACCTTCCAGTAAAAGATCACTTTGTGGGCCTTTTAGAACCCTTTTGCCTGACCTTATTTTAGATTTTTTTGCCTGACCTTGTTTTAGATTTTTTCCATTGTCCTGCTCCCAAGTCTTTCCAGAGTCATGTCGTGGTCAAAGTTCGTTCTGTGGCGTGCCAAGCTGTGGAGCAGTCGCAAAGCTGCAGGCGAAGGCCTGTGAGACAAACGAAAGTCCAAACTTAGCGAAGCGTGTGCAGACTTGTGCAACTTCGCTCAAAAAACAAAAACAGAAATTCAGGTTGCTTTTTGCTAGAGGGAAGGTGCTTAGAGGGGCTTTGCACATGAAGGTTCGACGTAAAAGCCTCGACCGTCTATTGACCGTCTATGACCGGCTTTGAACCACCTTATCCGCCTCTTGACATGATCTTGACTGTGGCTCACCTGTGCAGGACTTGCAGTCCCAAGGATGTCTCAGCTTCTGCCTGGCACGTTCTGGTGGCATACGCTTTCTCTATCTTTCTCTTTTCTTACCGTATCTTTTTTGCAAATCCTTTCAATTTCGGATTCACAAGAGCTCTTCACCCCTTTTTCCTCCTTTTTATCGCATAGCTCGCAGCGCAGGGATGGCATTGGCAGTGAAGTCTGCTAGCGGTGTTGGCAAGGCCTTCCAAGGTCAAACTTGACCAGACAATGAAGCATTCTGAGACCATGGAAAGCTCCAATCTTGCACATTCAAACTTGTTGCAAGCTGCACCTCCAAATCAAAGAAACCAATGTCATCGTGCTTTGCCTGGCGGAGCAAGGTGACCCATCTCTATATTCCTGCACGAATGCAGATTGCTACAATCTCTACTTGGACTTCTATGACATTTGATGACAATTGATGACAACTGTGGCCAGTCTGAAGGACGCAGGACAATTCAACACAAATAATCATCAGACTGGCGAGAAATTCATGGGAGAATGTCATCAGTCTTTGTACAGTTAAAGACAATGAATGCGAGAAATCAATCATCAGCACAAAGGATTCCATCAGTTTTCTTCGGTTGGGACTCTTTGAGGGCTGGACTGGCTCCATGTTCTTGGCATCTTCTGCATGGCAGCCGGGTGCCAATTCAGCAGTGTAGCCTGTCGCAAAAGAAAGGGAAACTGCAGATGTCACAATGTGAAAGACATCTCTTCATTGCACCACTGAAGGAAATCTCCAGTTCCACCCATTAAAAAATATATCTCAAGCCTATTGACACCCAGTGGCTTCCGCCAGATGGTTCGGATGTGACCTGGGACCAGAAATTGAAACGAGGTTCACAATATCCGAGCGACTTCAGTTGAGACGCTGTCATACTTCTACTGTTTCAAAAGCAAGAAACATCAACCAGCATTGAATCGTGCAAATCAAACATTGTGAAACCATTGTGTTTGAAGCAGTAGGGTGTTGGCATCGAGCAGTTGAGGCTCAGCGATCTCCAGGTTCGTCTCTTCCCTGGAAAGAGGAAACGAAAAAATTGGAAAAAATAAGAAAGGATGAGAAAGGAAAGCAAGTGAAAGCAATGTGGAAACACCGGAAGTCACCGGCACCGATGGGCCCCATGCCATGTGCAGTGCCTAATCTCTCGCGCCAGTGCGGCTTCACAGCTTTCACCAAAGTCTACGGCACCTCCAGGCCTTCGACCAGCACAACCAGCACATGCAGCACGATGCAACACCCAAATTGCACCAATCCTGTACCAATCCACCATTTTGCTGGAAGATCTTTTTGATTTTCTATGCCACGTGTGAAAAGTTGAGGCATATTTTCCATATAATTTGGAGAAATGACTCAAGAACCTTGTGCCGTTTTTGACAACCTGTGATAACCGTAACGGTAAACCGTAACACGGTTGCTTGTAGCGAGGCCTGGCCCAGGCGCCTGGTGCCGTTCTTGCTGAGCTGCTGCGTTTTAGCAGCAGCACCTGGAGTTGAACGTATCTTCAAATGAACGTATGTTGAGAATATATATATACATATGTATGTGTATAAAAAATATATATAAATAAATTATATACATATATATGTACATACTAAACAACTATTTATCTATCTATCTATCTATCGATTTATCTATCTATCGATCTATCTCTATCAATATCTATCAATATCTATCAATATCTATCAATATCTATCAATATCTATCAATATCTATCAATATTTATCAATATCTATCAGTATCTATCAATATCTATCAATATCTATCATTATCTATCATTATCTATCTATCTATCATTATCTATCTATCTTTCTATCTATCTATCTATCTATCTATCATTATCTACCATTCTCTATCACTATATATCATTATCTATCATTATCGATCATTATCGATCATTATCGATCATTATCGATCATTATCGATCATTACCGATCATTAACTCTCATTATCTATCATTTTCTATCATTATCTATCATTATCGATCATTATCGATCATTATCGATCATAATCCATCATTTTCTATCATTCTCTATCATTCTCTATCATTCTCTATCATTCTCTATCATTCTCTATCATTCTCTATCATTCTCTATCATTCTCTATCGTTCTCTATCGTTCTCTATCATTCTCTATCATTCTCTATCGTTCTCTATCATTCTCTATCATTCTCTATCATTATCTATCATTCTCTATCATTCTCTATCATTCTCTATCATTCTCTATCATTCTCTATCATTCTCTATCATTCTCTATCATTCTCTATCTATAATTCTATCTATCTATCTATCTACCTATCTATCTATCGGTCTATCGGTCTACCGGTCTATCGGTCCATCGGTCTATCGGTCTATCTATCTATCTATCATTATCTATGTATCTTTATCTATCTATCATTATCTATCTATCATTATCTATCTATCATTATGTATCATTATCTATCTATCATTATCTACCACTATCTATCTATCTATCTATCTAATCTATCTATCTATCTATCTATATCTATCATTATCTATCTATCATGATCTATCAATCATTATCTATCAATATCTATCTATCATTATCAATCTGTCATTATCTATCTATCATTATCTATCTATCATTATCTATCTATCATTATCTATCTATCATGATCTATCTATCATGATCTATCTATCACTATCTATCTATCACTATCTATCTATCACTATCTATCTATCATTATCTATCTATCATTATCTATCTATCATCATCTATCTATCATTATCTATCTATCTATCTATCTATCATTATCTATCAGTATCTATCAATCATTATGTATCATTATCTATGTATCATTATCTATCTATCATTGCCTATCATTATCTATCATTATCTATCATTTTCTATGATTATCTATCATTATCTATGATTATCTATCATTATCTATGATTATCTATCATTACCTATGATTATCTATCATTATCTATCATAATCTATAATTATCTATCAGTATCAATCTATCTATCATTATCTATCTATCTATCTATCTATTTATCTATCTATCTATCTATCTATCATTATCTATCATTATCTATCATTATCTATCATTATCTATCATGTTCTATCATTACCTATCATCGTCAAACATTATCTATCATTATCTATCATTATCAATCAATCAATCAATCTATCTTTCTATCTATCTATCTATCTTTCTATCTATCTATCATTGTCAATCTATCATTACCTATCATTATCTATCTATCATTATCTATCTATCATTATCTATCATTATCTATCATTATCTATCATTATCTATCATTATCTATCATTATCTATCATTACCTATCATTATCTATCATTATCTATCATTATCTATGATTATCTATGATTATTTATGATTATCTATGATTATCTATGATTATCTATCATTATCTATCAATATCTATCATGATCTATCATGATCTATCATGATCTACCATGATCTATCATGATCTATCATGATCTATCATGACCTATCATGATCTATCATGATCTACCTATATGTATCTATATATATCTATATCTATCTATATCTATCTCTATCTATCTACCCCTATCTATCTCTATCTATCTCTATCTATCTCTTTCTACCTCTTTCTACCTCTATCTATCTCTATCTATCCCTATCTATCTCTATCTATCTCTATCTATCTCTATCTATCTCTATCTATCTCTATCTATCTCTATCTATCTCTATCTATCTCTATCTACCTCTATCTACCTCTACCTATCTCTATCTATCTCTTTCTACCTCTATCTATCTCTATCTATCTCTATCTATCTCTATCTATCTCTATCTTTCTCTATCTATCTCTATCTATCTCTATCTATCTCTATCTATCTCTATCTATCTCTATTTATCTCTATCTATCTCTATCTATCTCTATCTATCTCTATCTATCTCTATCTATCTCTATCATTCTCTATCTATCTCTATCTATCTATATCTATCTATATCTATCTATTTATCTATCAATCTATCAATCTATCTATCTATCTGTCTATCAATATCTACCTATCTCTATCAATATCTGTCAATATCTATCAATATTTATCAATATCTATCAATATCTATCAATATCTATAAATATCTATCAATATCTATCAATGTCTATCATTATCTAACAATGTCTATCATTATCTATCAATATTTGTTAATATCTATCATTCTCTATCACTATCTATCATTATCTATCATGATCTATCATTATCTATCACTATCGATCATTATCGATGATTATCGATGATTATCGATCATTATCGATCATTATTGATCATTAACTCTCATTATCTATCATTTCTATCATTATCTATCATTTTCTATCTATCTCTCTATCTCTATCTATCTATCCTTATCTATCATTCTCTATCATTCTCTATCATTCTCTATCATTCTCTATCATTCTCTATCATTCTCTATCATTCTCTATCGTTCTCTATCGTTCCCTATCATTCTCTATCATTCTCTATCGTTCTCTATCATTCTCTATCATTCTCTATCATTCTCTATCATTCTCTATCATTTCTATCATTCTCTATCATTCTCTATCATTCTCTATCAATCCCTATCATTCTCTATCATTCTCTATCATTCTCTATCATTCTCTATCATTCTCTATCATTCTCTATCTATCGATCTAATCTATCTATCGATCTAATCTATCTATCATTATGTATCTATCATTATCTATCTATCATTATCTATCTATCATTATCTATCTATCATAATCTATCTATCTTTACCTATCTATCATTATCTATCTATCACTATATATCTATCATTGTCTATCAACCATTATCTATCATTATCTATCTATCATTCTCTATCATTATCTATCTATCATTATCTATCTATCATTATCTATCTATCATTATCTATCTATCATTCTCTATCTATCTATCTATCTATCTATCTATCTATCATTATCTATCTATCATTATCTATCTATCATTATCTATCTATCATTATCTATCTATCATTATCTATCTATCATTATCTACCACTATCTATCTATCTGTCACTATCTATCTATCACTATCTATCTATCATTATCTATCTATCTATCATGCTCTATCTATCTATCATTCTCTATCTATCTATCATTCTCTATCTATCTATCATTCTCTATCTATCTATCATTCTCTATCTATCTATATATATCTATCTATCAATCATTCTCTATCTATCTATCTATCTATCTATCTATCATTCTCTATCTATCTATCATTCTCTATCTATCAATCATTCTCTATCTATCTATCATTCTCTATCTATCTATCATTCTCTATCTATCTATCATTCTCTATCTATCTATCATTCTCTATCTATCTATCATTCTCTATCATTCTCTATCATTCTATCTATCTATCTATCTCTATCTATCTCTATCTATCTCTATCTATCTCTATCTTTCTCTATCTATCTCTATCTTTCTCTATCTATCTATCATTCTCTATCTATCTATCATTCTCTATCATTCTCTATCATTCTATCTATCTATCTATCTCTATCTATCTCTATCTATCTCTATCTATCTCTATCTTTCTCTATCTATCTCTATCTTTCTCTATCTATCTCTATCTATCTATCATTCTCTATCTATCATTCTCTATCTATCATTCTCTATCTATCTATCTATCATTCTCTATCTATCTATCTATCTATCTATCTATCTATCTATCATTCTCTATCTATCTATCATTCTCTATCTATCTATCATTCTCTATCTATCTATCATTCTCTATCATTCTCTATCAGACTCTATCATTCTCTATCATTCTCTATCTATCTGTCTGTCTGCCTGTCTGTCTATACGTTACTAACTTGAGAAGGGGTGACACGAAAGGTAGTTGTGTCAGACGTTATAACTCTGATTGTCGATGAGATGTGACTCCAGCTTGGGTGGTTCATGAACCGTGGACGGGCATGAAACTGGACATTCATAGCTGAACGGAGATATCTGGATCCGAAAAGAGGGCACCCCACGATTGCCATGGTTGATCAGCACTTAGTCTATTTAAAGAGCCATTTGAAGGTATATTGTCTGACACACGCATCGTGCGGGGAAAAAAAACGCGGTCAGTGTTAGCACAAACCCCAAAGTCGCTTTTGCGGTACCTATGGATGCTCGAACTTGTCACTTTCATCGCACCGCTGGGTACGGGGCAAATGGATGTCGAAAAATCCGAATGGCAAGTCGAAAGATGATGATGATGATGATGATGATGATGATGCGGATGATGACGATGATGATGATGATGCTGATGATGAGACACTGCGAAGGGGCTGCTGCGTGAAGAGACGCACAAGGCATGTGACGAGAGTTCACTTGGGGGTGGGCATGGAACTGGACATTCAGAGCAGAGCGGAGATATTTGGATCCGAAAAGAGAGCACCCCACGATGTCCATGGTTGCTCATCACTTAGTCCATTTAAATAGCCATTTGGAGGTATACATTGTCAGACACACGCATCGTGCGGGGAAAACAAAACACGGTCAGTGTTAGCACAAACTCCAATGTCTCTTTTTGCGGTACCTATGGATGCTCGAACCTGTCACTTTCATCGCACCGTTGGGTACTTGGAAAATGGATGTCGAAAAATCCGAATTTCAAGTCGAATGATGATAATGATGAGGAGGATGATGATGATGTTGATGATGATGATGGTGATGATGACGAGACACTGCGAAGGGGCTGCTGCGTGAAGAGACTCACCAGGCATATGGCGAGAAATCCTTTTGGGGGGGGGGAGGGGGGGAGGCTCTGATTGTCGTTGTGATGTGACTCCAGCTTGGGTGGTTCATGAACCGTGGACGGGCATGAAACTGGACATTCATAGCTGAACGGAGATATCTGGATCCGAAAAGAGGGCACCCCACGATTGCCATGGTTGATCAGCACTTAGTCTATTTAAAGAGCCATTTGGAGGTATATTGTCTGACACACGCATCGTGCGGGGAAAAAAAACACGGTCAGTGTTAGCACAAACCCCAAAGTCGCTTTTGCGGTACCTATGGATGCTCGAACCTGTCACTTTCATCGCACCGCTGGGTATGGGGCAAATGGATGTCGAAAAATCCGAATGGCAAGTCGAAAGATGATGATGATGATGATGATGATGTTGATGATGATGATGATGGTGATGATGACGAGACACTGCGAAGGGGCTGCTGCGTGAAGAGACTCACTAGGCATATGGCGAGAGATCCCTTTGAGGGGGGGGGGGGGGGGGGGGAGGGTTCCCTTTCTCCTGGTCGTTCAGGGATAAGGGGTCCAGCCCGCCCCTTTGCTTCGCAGAGTAAAACTCAAGGTAGCCCGCTAGGAGGCTACCTTTCGTGATATTCACGCATAATGCCTGCAACAAGTAAAAAAAGCAAACATCAAATGACCAGACGGTGTGAACTATCTGAAAGCGGAGGAAACAAAGAGGTTGGAAGAGCTTGAAGAACCTACTGTCCATGGGTCCATGGAGCCAAGACTCGAAAACAGCCCGACTCCAGTGTCACATTATGTCACATTAATTTTCGAGCCACTCGCCCGTGCTCATCAAAAATGAACGCGCCAACGCCAACACCTACAACAGCTGATAGGTGGATCTGTGTCTGATGAGATCATTGAATCACTGCTCGATCTGTTGTAACTTTTTGCACGATCTGTGTCAATCTGTTTTGAACATTTTTGAACATGAATCAACTCATGTGATTTGCCCAGATTCGCCTGTGAAGTCTTTGCCAGGTTTTAGGCTCGACATGAGGCGTGCCCCAAGTCCCAGGATTGCTATCACAAAGCAAATCAGCCAGCGGGAAACGGAGTGGATCTTACGGATCCTAGCTCTTATGGCTGGCATCTGAAACGCAAACGGCTGCGAAGCTGGCTTACTTTCAAAAAACAACGACAGCACTCACTTGGCACAATCGGTTGAATCTTCATGCAAACTATCTTCATTGACTTATCTCTCGCACTCTCTTCTGCCCTCAGCTTTTTCTGTCCAGCCGTCTTAGCCGAATCAGAACTCATCGACTGTTGCATCTGGGCGCAGAACATCAAATCGCAAAATGTCTGCCACCATGCTAGGTTTAAGCATGTTCAAACCGTGCCTAGACAACCAGGAAAGTGAAGCAGTCTTTCCCTGATCTTTCACTTGGATCTAAGCTTCATTTGGCCTTGTTGTAGTCTTTTCAGTGCTGGTAATTTGCAGATAACTGAGATGCAGAAAAGATGAAATGCTGCATTCTCAGAGTTTTCAATGCTGGCCTGTTGAATCCCAACAGCTTTCATAAAGCCTTGGAGCATGCAGAGAAATATCTTGCTGGTGGGATTTCACATGTTACATGTCACTTAAATTGTAGCGAAGGCCAATGAACTGCCCCGGGAGAAACATGTGATTCGGAATGGCGGCTGTTGGTGCAACCAAGACGCATTAGCTCTGGCCTCAAAACACGTTCATCGTTTACAAATACCAGAAACTGAACAAAATAAAGGCGAAACATTTCAAATGTTCGAAGGAGCTGACACAGCCTTTTTCACAACAAGTTGCAGTGCTGGAGGAAGAGGCTCATCCTGAAAGTGTCTCAGTACCTGCAACGGAAACAACACGAAGCCGAAGAGACACCAAAGCTATCATGTGATTCACCATGGACAGGTTGACAATAGGCATCACATGGCATGATCTCTCTGCTTGTCTCTAAAAATTGCCGTGTGGCCTGTTTTTGGACTACTTGAGACTTTCTCTGGACCACTGGAAGCATCCGAAAATTCCTTGGTGCTCTACTTCTGTGTCTTTTCCAACTTCAGTTTCACTTCTCAATGTGAGACTAAAGAACATGGCAATTTAAAACATGTACTACAGAGTTGGCACAGCAAAGAGATACGGCGGTCGCTGCAATGCCTCTTCTGCACTTTGCCACTCCAAGCTCTGGCGCCGCTTTCCGCTGGGCACCACTCGCCAATTGGGGGAGGCCTCAAAGCAGCGTCACAATGTGGTCAAATCGCCTTTGAGAACGAAATACCAGGAGAAAGCGCAACGCGCGCAACGCGCGCAACGCTTTGAACTAAATCAATGGCAATTTGATGCTGAACATCCACAAAGAATCTGAAAATGATTACTTTTTGTCTGCACTAAACTTGAAAGAAACAGTGCCTGCCGCTTCAACCAGTTGAAGTCCTGTACTTCGGACCAAGCGCTTGCCTGCCAATCGAATGGCAAAACACTGCTTAGCACCTGGTGGAACTTTCCAAGCTTAGCATTCCGACATGGTCTTTCCGACATGGTCTTCCACATTTCCACAAAGTTTTTGAGTTTTCAATTCAGGTGCCATGAAAGCAACATTTTTTCACCGAAACGGTGAGATCATTCCGTTGCCTCGACTCCCAAGGAGGCTTGCTGCAGAAGCTCCGGCACTGAGACAGAAACTTGACAGAAACGACAACATTTGTGACAATGATCAAATGATCAAACAAACTCCAATAAATTCAATAAATCTCAAGCATGTCTTTAATTAGTCTTAAGTGTTACAAACTTTATGGATCTTTATGGTCTGTGTAGTTATTCCTGTTCCCGCCTTCTGGCCAGTGCAAGTCATTTGGGGCAAATGCCACATGCTGACAGTGTTCTATGATGGGCCCCGACCTGTAGCACAGTGCTTCTCGCCAGGATCATTGACTTGACATGAAGGTGAATGGAAACTTCGCTGTCTGACATTGGCACCCTCCCACTTTGTGCTTCCCACGTATGATTTAATGTCCCTGCACAGCACAGGAAAATGACTTCCCCAGCAAATCTTTTGGGTCACTTGATGGTACAACAGTGACGGAGTCATAACACATCAAAACTATTGAAAACTCCAGATATTGCTGTGATATGCAGCGACAAGCGACAAGCTGTGCAAATGCAAAGCGACAGCGTCTGAGTCGTGGAGCCGCAGTTGCTTTACCTCGAGGCTGAACGGAAGTTGAAAACCGCGGCAAGCAAATGCAAAGCAAATGCAAAGCAAATGCAAAGCAAACGCAAAGCAAATGCAAAGCAAATGCAAAGCAAATGGAAAGCAAACGCAAAGCAAATGCAAAGCAAATGCAAAGCAAATGCAAAGGAAAACTCTGCTTGGATCAATGCAGAACCGAAACAACAACGGTTTTGGGAGAGAAACTGAATATCCAAAGGGGATCATTGAGAACCTTTTGCGAACGGTGTGCTGACAGTAGGTTGCAGCAAGAATGCCAGTGTGGCTCTCAGTGCCCCATCCCTGCTTTGATAACAAGCGACTGCCAGGGTGAAAACACAGCTGTTGCAGTGGTGCATCATTGCAGAAGATGAAACCTCTGCGCTGGAAGCTGGCATTTCAACATATTTCAACCTTAAACAACGTCTCTTGGAAGTATGCAACAAAATTCGTCGAATCAGAGTTTGTTTCTTGTAAAACCTTCAAATGGACTTTCAGGGGCTTTTCTCGTTCCAACAGGGTTCCAAATATTTTTCTTGGGTCACCAGTGTCTCCAAGGCTGTTCTGATCCTCAATCTATCAAGAAATGTGAAAGTGAAGTCAGTCGTCTATGCAGTGTGTGTGTGTGGGCTAGAAGTGTTCAAGATTCCTTCTTGTGGCAGGCCTCACGTTATCAACAAAGTGATCTTTTCACCAAGAGTGAAACGTCAAACAAAACAAAATCAATCAACTGTTCATCTTGGAGGCACACATTTCCAGTCCGCGCAAATAATATACATCGTAACAACCATATACAGTTTGATCATGTTTAATCAGTATGATTGAACATATCATATCCGCCTGTCTAAATCGCATTCACAATGTTAAATCAAATTATATCATATATCATATATATCCTATTCTATTCTCTTCGATTTACGCAGTGTTGCGCAAACCTCTCTGCCTCTCTTTTGATCCCAGCGTCCGCTGCTACCACCACTTCACACCGCTTCAGCTTGTGCACGTGCAACGCGCCAATCCTCAGTGCATCGATGTGGATCTCATGTGCCAAATCAAACCTGTTCACAGCTGTGATGGACTTTGGATCCAAAACCTCGAGAAAGTCGCAGAAAGTCTGACAGAAACAACTTTCACATCGCCGAAATGATGAAGAAACTGCTGCTTAAAAGGCTCCGATCCAAGAGAATAATGCGGCAGCCTTCCAGATTGCTGAGCCAAACATCACGGCCCTGGCAGGTTCGGTGCCACGGTTTGCCTCTCACAGTTTACGTTTTCAGCCAACAATTTCTGTACATCTCCGTACTAGAGATATATATCTATAGATGTGATGTGAATTTCCTATACTTTCCTCGATTTGTGTCTGCGCCCAAATCAGCGCCTCCAATTCACCAGGCTTCCGTATCACCAGCTGATTCTCCAGGCCATCCAAGCGCTCGCCATGGAAGGCACTGGATGGATCAGAATCTGAGCATCGACACCATCTCGAGACATCTCGACACATCTGACATCAAAATCATCAAAATCATCAAACAGTAAACGTAAAAACGTAAAAAACGTAAAAACGTAAATGGTTTGGGTCAAAACAGAGGTGCATTCAAACTTCAAGCGTTTCAATCATCCCTTTTTCGAGCCTGCACTAGCTGACAGCACATAGCCTTTGTCTTCCCCTGGCATTCTTGGGATAGAAACTCAACGAGAAGGAATGCTGCAGAGTCGGTGCAAAGAAACGAAAAACTGGGTGCTGGCGCTTTCCTGTGTCATACTGGGTACATACTGAGTACAGTACTAAGATTGTAAGTAACTAGGAGCACGGCCTTTAGAAGGCCGTGGTTTTTTTTGTGATCAACGGGGTGTCATGGATCATGTTAGATGTGCTCGTGGCATGACTTATGAGTGGAAAGTTCAAGAAAAAAACAGTAGTGTAGCATGACGTATGAGTGCAAAGTTCAAGAGAACGTACAGTAGCGTAGCAGCGTAGCATGACGTAAGAATGCAAAGTTCAAGAGATCTTGCAATAGCACCCACAGAGTAGCATGTCTGTCCTTCATCAGCAAGTTCACATGAATGTTGATACATGCCCCACCCCACCCCACCCCACCCCTCCAATGTCTACAAAACACTACGGCCTTCTAAAGGCCGTGGTCCAACTACTCAGTACTTGTTGTGAGTCCTCCTTCGGAGCAAACGACACAGTGGTTCGGTTGTGGCCTGTTGTGGCCACTGGTGGCGGATTCCTCCGCTTAAAGCTGAACCTGCAGCATCGGCAAGAAGCGAATCCCTTGAGTCAAGCAGAACTGAGCTTGGTGCTTGAAGATCTTGAAGTCGAATTCAATGGATTTTGAAAAGAAATTCATATCATTTCTACACATTTGCACATGGATTTCGGTTTGTTTCCGTCACCGTTTCGCCAAGATGCTTCTTCCTGGGTGCCAGCTGCTCTCGCCGAGCTGCCAACTCTTCTGTCAAGGCCTGAAACCGAACAATTTTTCAAATGCAATCAATTCTTTTAACATCTTTTAACATTCCAGTGTAACATTGTGAACATCAGTAAGAAAAATGATGACATCGCTGAATGATGCTGAATGCATCTGAATGATGCTGAATGCATCTGAACGATGTGGAATGCATCGGACTGCACTAAAATCACCAAAACATAGCACAGCTGAAAATTCAACAATTCGAACATATCCAGAGACATTCCACGCATCTCTGCCTTCAAAGAGCTGCGGTACTGCTGCCTCAAAGTTCTGTCTCCAAAAGCTCGAACTGAAAGCAATGCAAAACACAAATGGGACACAAACAAATAATGAAACAGTCGGAAAACAGTCGGAAAAGAGAAAACATGACAGCTTTTGCTGTTTGAGCATTCCTCCCAGAATGCGCTTACAGTCTCATCAAAACGGCCAGACCAGGTGGAAATGCAAAGCAAGTTGCACGTCGTAGGCTGGTAGCACATGTGCTTGTCGAGTGAAGCTGGCCTGTATTTCTGACTTGCTCGACCAAAAGGACAGCATGGCCCACAAAGCAGTCGAAATGATCAGCGGAATGCATGCCATACATTGCCATACTACCTACTGCTGCAGCGCTTCCAAATTCTCCTGGCAGTGTAAAAGTCGTAAAAAAATTCGCTCAAGATTCCTAAAGTAGTTGAGGGATGTTAAGGGACCGTCTCGAGTCTCTAGGAAACAACAACATATTTTCTATTTCATTGCGTTTCCCTTTCTGGCGAACCGTCCCGAGTTGTCCGCTTTGCCTCCAGCGCCTGCAACCTCAGCAGAAGGGCATCCAGCTGCTCGTGCACCTGAGGACACACGGCACCAGTTGGCACAGGTTACAACTGGTTGTGACCTTGTGGACAGATGTGGACAGGCTATGCCTCGCTGTTGACGCACGCCAATGCATCGCGGATGCTCTGCTCTTCAGCCTGGCACATGTGAAGAAGCTCCTGGTATGACCTGGTACTGCGACACGTGCCTCGCTCAGTGAAACATCGCTGGATCTCTCGACATAAAACTTTGTGTGGCACTTGACTTGTGCGGCTTCTCTTGCTGCTTTGAAACCGCTTTGAAACCTTGAAGCTCTTAAAGAAGTCTTTCAGAAATTCCTCCTTGCTCACTTCAGCCTTGCGCCAAAAGTCTTGGCAAGGATGCCATTTCCAAAACCAAACAACGTATACACACCCTGTGCGTGCATGTGTTTTGATTTTGATGCAACTGTGCATGATAACTAAATGATATTATTATATTACATGGATCAAACAGAAACATGGCACAGGAGGGGGATCCTATCAATGCTATCGGTAGTCAGAGAACAACAAAAACGAAGACATCGGAGCCTTATTTTGTACCTCGCATCAATCGAGTGTGGAGACAGGGTGCCGAGATGTGCCAAGGCGGGTTCACCACAAGACGTGAAACCAAGTTTCACCACAGGTATGACTTTCAAACGTGAAACCAAGCAATGTTGTCGCTGTCATACCAGTGATCAAGGGGGTAGGACTTGAGAACTGTCGCATTCATGATATCACTGCAAAGTACCGTTGCCTTTCCTCAGATGCAGGTCACACTTCGACGCTTCCAGCCAAACACTCAACATTCCAATGTATGTGCAATTCTACATCTATATGTACACATTTTTAAACACCCTCTCTATCTCTTTCTCTCTCTATACATATATATATTCAACGGTTCTTTCAGATTTTGATCTTGCACAAAGACATGAAGATCACCAATTAGTCACTCTACAACTCCAGTGGGTAGCGAGACATCACTTGCGCAAGCCCAAGTATGACAAGAACATTGGCATGAACATTGATTACAAAGACCCTCTCATCAAGGAGGGATTGATGCACTTTCACCCAGAACCCTGGCATGTTGACGTTGAACAGCAAGCTGATCACCTTGTTCAACATCTACGCCACTCCATGGGCTCTCTACGTAAACAACAAGCTGTCAGCGCCAAGAAACCATATGTGACGCCTGAAGTATGGCAGTATCGTTTGAAAAAACTTCAATGCAGACAAATCAACAAGCAGATCAGACGTAGGCTTGCCACTGAAGCGCTCCATCAAGTCTTCAAAGCATGGACCCACAGTGCAACCACTTCAGATCTGGCGCAGTTCTTCAACTACGGCACCAGTTTACGTTGCAGCCAGGTGAAGGCGTTTTTGGGATTCTGCAAATATCGCAAAATGATGAGGTCTCAATTACAACAATCAAAGTCAACTTTCCTGAAACAGAGACTCAGCCAACTGCCTGAGAATAGTGCGGCAGCTGACATCTTGAAGGAATTGAAACCTTTCATCGGGCCCACGAACCCAAGAAAACAGAAAAAAGCCACTCTGCCCATGGTCCACAATGCAGATGATCAGCCATGTACCCTTCCCACAGAAGCTCTGGCAGTATGGGTAGACTTCTTCAGAGACATGGAAGGAGGCAGCAGAGTGACAGAAGCCCAATTGAGGACACAGTGGATCGACAATTTGCAGTCTTTCCGCCAAACAGCCTTCCAACTGTCGATGGAGGAGGTGCCGACGCTGACGGACATGGAACTGGCGTGCAGACGGGTTGCTTGCAAGAAAGCTACGGGCCCTGACAAAGTTCCAGGTGAAGTATGCAGATTTCATCCAGAGCTCCTTGCGCCGGTGACCTATACGCAGATGTTGAAGCTTGTCCTTCATGGACAGGAACCACTCCTCTTCAAAGGTGGCTTGCTGGTCCCAGCGTACAAGGGAAAAGGCCCGACATACAGGGTCAATTCCTTTAGGTCTCTGTTGATTTCGTCGCACCTCGGCAAGGTCATCCATCGCTGCATCAGACAGCACAAAGCAGATGCATACGAAAAGTATCTATAGGGCCAACAGCTCGGCGGCCGAAGGAAGGTACCGGTGCAGCTCGCCCTGCATCAGGCGAGAGCATTCCTGAGAAGAGCTCGAGAACAGCACATGTCCGCGGGACTGCTCTTCCTCGACCTTACAGAGGCGTTTTATCGCATACTCAGGGAGATCTCCATGGGAGGCACACCCACAGACGAGCTGCTGAGCTATGTCTTCAACAAGTTGAAGCTGCCTGTGGACTCAATGCAACAACTACATGAAGTCTTAGACAACGGCACAGCGTTGGAACATGCTGGCCTCAGCGCTACAGCGCGTAATTGCTTTCGAGCAATTCATAGCAATACCCACTTCTGGCTTGCTGACCAGAAAGACGTGGTGGCCACGTGCCTGGGGACCCGTCCAGGGGACTCATTTGCAGACGTGATCTTTGGCTTCACATGGAGTATGGTGTTGAAACGACTCCAGTGTTACCTCATCGACCACGAGCTCATTGCACAGATCCCCCCCATGACTAGGCCGCCTTTCTTTGCGCCAGTGACAGCAGTCACAGAGACCAAGCCCTTTTTAGGTCCCACGTGGATGGATGATTTATGGCTGTGCGTCCAACATCGTACAGCCCAAGGTCTTGAACGAACTGTTGGCCCTGCCATCAGTTACCTTTTGGACTTGTGCGAACAACATTTGATGTCGCCAAATCTCAGCAAGGGGAAGACAGAGCTCATGCTATGTTTTCATGGCCCTGGCAGTCGCAAGATGAAGGTCAAACACTATGGACCACAGGCAGCAGGGACGTTCACAGTGATCTGCGAAAGACAGATGCAGACCATTTCACTGGTTAAAGAATACCGTCACTTGGGCGGTGCTCTACATCACACCAGTGATCAAGCACGTGAAGTAGCGCAGCGATTGGCGATTGGACATGGAGCTTTCAATCAACACCGTCGCCTACTATATCACAATGAGCGCATAGAAGAACAAAAACGTCATGAGATCTTCAATACCTTGGTGCTCACCAAAGTGCTGTATGGCTCTGACTCATGGATTGCAGGAGATCTTCGCACCATGCGCAAATTTGAGGCGGCAATCATTCGACTGTATCGCCGGTTGCTTAAGATAAAACCTGCAGCCCACATTATGGACCAGGAGATCATTGCGTCATCATCCCTGCCCACTCCTACCACCCTTCTACGAAGATCCAGATTGCGGTATCTCTCTGTTCTTCTACGTAGCGGTGTTCCAGACATCTGGCATCTTCTATGTGCAGACAGACAGTGGACACAGGTCATTGAGGATGACATGATATGGATGTGGGACCAATTGAGAAGAGCCTCCATCTTGAAGGATCCCAGACAACACCCAGAGCAGTGGTTTGATCTGATCAGCAACCATCCTTCATATTGGAAAAAACTAGTCACACGAGCCTGCACTCATGAGAACATGCAGATCAAGAAGCAGCACATTGTCACCAGCTCTCATCAGCGCATGTGCCATCGATTGCACGAACATTGCGATGGTTGGCTGATCAATGCACAATGGGAAGAACCAGAGCAACATCAGGCAGAAGAGACAGATTTCTACGGATGTCTGACGTGCAGATTGCGATGCAAGACCAAGGCAGGCGAGGCAGCACATATGTTCCGTGTTCATGGGCAGAGATCGATTGTGAGAAGCCTTTTTGATGACACGAATTGTGGCGCATGCCTCAAGGAATTTCACACATATGGTCGCATGAAGGCGCACCTGTACTACTCTCATGCGTGCAGGAATCTTCTGCTTTCCCGAGGAGGGCGCCATGCAGAACAACCAGGTGTCGGGTCACTTGCGGAACAGGCATTGGTGCAGAGTCATGACCGTATGCTTCCACCACTTCAAGCTGCAGGTCCGCGCCTCCCTGACCCAGGCCTTCGAGATTTTCAGGACATTGATGACAAGCTCTACATCTTCCTGGTTGACTTCTTTGCGGACTTCCAGGATAACGACGTGGAGCAGCAGAGCTTGCAAAGTGCCATTCATGGACACATCAAGGATCATGCCATTTCATGGACAAGGGCACAGAATACTTTTCTATTTTTTGTGACCAACCTTGATGAAGCAGACGCCCAAGTTTTTGGTTTTGAACTGAAGCGAGTGCAAGACATTTTTGCCACTTTCAGATGTCCTGAAACCTGGCAATTTGGAAGCCAGACTTCGACCCACAGTATGACGCCAAGAACTATACAACATTACCATGATGCACTGCGGGCCCTCAAGATCGAACTGGAGCACTCACCGCAGCTACCAGATGTTCCGAAGAGTTTTGGACGCCATCGGATAATTTTGAATGCCTTTGCCGGCAGACGACGTCTGGGCGACATCCAATACTACTTGGAACGGGACAAGCATGCGGCTGAAGCATACTACATCACCGTAGTCTCCCTTGACATCGTGATCGACGCCAAGTGGGGCAACGCATCTAAAGCATCCACGAGGCAGCTGTGGATGAATGCAATCCGCGAGCGTTATGTGCTCGCGTTTCTTGCGGGTCCGCCATGTGAAACGTGGTCGCGTGTGAGAAATGTGAACTCCGAAGCAGATGAGCAGGAAGCTGACCAACCCCAACCACATCTTCCTCGAGTCCTAAGAGACGAAGAACAGCTTTGGGGACACAGCAGCTTGGCAATCCGGGAGATCATGCAGATCAACGTCGGAAATTGCCTTCTATGTTTCTCTCTTGAGGCACTTTTGGAAACGGCACTGGCTGGCAGTGTCGGAATGCTGGAGCATCCAGCGGAACCCACGGATCTGGAAGGATCCGCGTCAATATGGAAGTTACCGCTGGTCCAAGTGCTCATGCAACTACCAGGAGTGCAAAGACTGAAATTTGCTCAGGGCCTGATGGGCTCGAAGTCTCCCAAACCTACTGAACTCATGTGCGTGAATTTGCCTGATATGATGTCATTTCTGCATAAGTACAGAGTTCGTAAGGAGCTTCCCACGCACAGAGCCGTTGGGAAGGATGCCACAGGAGCATGGCGCACTTCCACTCTGAAAGAGTATGCGCCAGCTTTCTGTCGGGCCATTTCTTCAGCAATTCGGGCCGTTTTTGCCAACTGTGAGGTAGCGGACGATTTGCCACCAATCCCCGAAGCATTTGTCAATTTGTGTCAATCAATGCAAGCGTCATCATACGGACACACCATTGGCAAGGATTATGCCGGGGGCTAAGTACAGATTCACAGTATCTTGAATTCATTGAACATTGCCGCGCCGCTGCAGATGCATCAAAGAGCGAGCGACAGCAAAAAAAAATATTCAACATCATATAACATCATATAACTATCTTTAGCGATGTCATGGAATCCAGGGCGGCCACGGCCAAGGCGCCTCTGATGGTTGGGAAAATCCTTGGACGGCCTCGGCGGTCCCTGCCATCGTGCCATCCGCAGTTTCCTTCGTCCAACTCCCACTTGAAGTGCATGCAGCCCAGGGAATCTTCAGCATCTTAGTGCTTGAAATTTTACATGTTTCATAAATAGTTTGTAAATAGTTTATAAAATCGGAAACTGCTACAATCTGTTACCTAGTGACATTTAAATTTACTTACAATCCCTGCTTTTCCTTTCCACGCTTCGATTTGTCTTCAACTCAACTCACTTTCATTCCTCTGAGCAATGCTTTCGTGTATTTCCATGCTTCTTCAGTATGAACTAGAACCGGACCTAGTTGTTGAACACGGTTGAACCGCACAAACCGGAAAAAAAAAACACGCCATCCTTCGATATCCGCCAAGGCACCAGTGATGGTCGACTTGCACAGCTCACCGCGCTCCTGTTTGCCGTTATCCCAAGGCCGCATGGCGCGCCAAAATTGCGAGTGCTGAAGAGGGCACACCTCTTTCTTCAGCCATTTGTAGATCAAGTACTGGGCCTTTCTCTTGGCATTCTTCACCAACTCTCGATTTGGGACATCCTTCTCCGGCTTTCCGCATTCCCATCCTTTCTTGGCAACTGTTCCGTCCAAATCCACTGGAGGACCAGCAGAAAAGCCTCGGTTTTCCCTGTTCTCCAAGGCCTCAACGAGATCTGAAGCTGCTGAAGCTGTCTCCGATGTCTCCGATGTCTCCATGTCTCGAATGGCAGCGATGCGGGTAACGTCGACCACAAGAAGCCACGCGAGGCGGAAAGCGACCGCTGCCATGGCTCTTTGCATTTCGAAAGTTTGGAAAGCGACACAAGTCTGGGACGATTGGGGAACTGCTTGGGACCGAAAGTCTGATCAGTCAAGCAAACGTCGACCTTATCTGCACACTGGAAGACATGGTAAGAATATTTTTCATGGTCACCTTCCTACCACATCAGCCATGCTCAACCAAAGGCCGCCCAGCACACTAACCCAAGGATTTCAGCCTGGAAATCGTTCAAAAAACCACTCAAAAAACAGTTCCCAGCCTTGTCATCCTTGTCATCTTTGTCATCGGCATCCGCCAGATCCTTGCAAGAGGAACTTTGAGGATCACTGGACACGAGATCTTTTCTTCCCACAGGCTGATCGAGAATGAGACAAGCACGAGACCCAAGCGACAAGAATGATTGGATCAGCTGAGCCATGAGAACATCGATTACATCGATCGACTGGGCCTCGCTCATGGTGCTTCGCTCATGGCCAAAAGGCGCTAAACTAGAATCATGCGACTGCTGATGACTGCTGCCACATCCAATTGAAGGACTTTGAGACAGAAAATGCCGGGCATGCGGACTGTGAAGATTGTGTTGCATCAAACCCGTGTGTGCACTACGGTCTTGCAATGAATGTTTGTATCTTCTCTTGAACCAGTTTCGTACATGACTGTCGTCATCCATAATATAGTGGGATAAGTTTTGAAACTGTGATTCCAAGCATTATCATTTGCTATTTTGCAAGTTATTATTGATCATGTGTGCCATTTTTCATTTGCCAACTTGATGAAGACCGTGCCTTTTTTTATCGTTGCATGGCTAATTTGGGACTTCTGCAGCTGGCTCAAGCATCAAACTGTGCCTTCAGAGCCAAAATCGCCCAGGAATCCACGGAAACTGAAAGGCATTGATGCTGAAGCCTGCTTCATGGAGTGGGTTTCAACCAAGCAGAACCCAGCAGCCAAGCCGCAGCAAAATAAAACATACAAGCTGTTACACCATGTTACACCCCGTCACAGTGATTTGTTCAAATTCTGCTTGACCATGTCCGACCGTCTACAAGTGGCTTCTGTGTGGTTTCTTATCTGACTATATCTTACCCATGACAATTTTAGCGATGATATTCACAAGAGACTCACAGACTTATCACTGACTCACCGAAGGAAACCGTTGCACTTCTCCGATCTGTCCGATCTGTCGAATCTGTCCTGATTCTTTCTGTTGAACGACCGGTTTTCGACGTTTTTTCGAGGTTTTTCCGATCGTTTCCCCAAGGCTTCTTGAGCCTTTCTTTGTGCAGTGAGCTGTTGCATCTCCAGGTCCTCTTCAGACATGGGCAGCCTTGGGAGCATGGCACAGCATAGAGCAGCCAAGTGACCTTCATCATTCAATGAAATTGTATCTGTTCAGTATCTATATATAGATATATATATAGATCCTTAATGATTCTGATAGATTCTTATAATGGTTAAGAATCAGGATTAGATTGCTATTGAATGAGAAATGCATCAAACATGGCCAAGTGTGCAAATGCATCCAAGTTCTGTGTCTGCTCACTTCACAACAGCATTCATGGAACAACGATGCAAGTGGAAAGGTACATACTTTCAGCTATCTTCGCGCTTTGTCAGCTTTGAACATTTGTACTGTAAGTGGCTATCATTGAAACTTTTGGAAGTGAAACGAGATTCCAATCAGTCCTCAAAATATGCCATGCAAGGTAGACTCCAAAAGATGTGCAACAGAACAGGCTATGAGAACGACATGAGGGAACCATCTACAGCAAACATCTCGGAGCAAACAAGTGAATACAAATCATGCCCTTAGGTTGGTGCACGACTAGGTCTGCGTGCGAAGAGATCTCCTTTTGAGCCTCGTCGTGCTTTGTGAGCCCATTGCCGAGTGCCACAGTGTGACGCTGACACGAGTCGGCTTGGGTCCAGAATCCGCTTGTTTGAACTGGAACATGGTCAAATGAGTCAAACTCTTGGGTCCAACTCTTGGGTCCAGAAAAACCGTGCTTCGTATTCGAAACATTCGATACATTTCATGAGTTTCATGTAAAAAAAACAGATTCGAAAACATGCAAGTTGCTCCATCTCAGTTTTCAGTGTACCTCGCTGGTTGTCGCTTCGCCCATGAAGAAGTGCTGCTCAAGGTCGACTCAGAAAGCGAGGCTTCTGCTGTCAGGGACAGTTGACATGTCAAAAACGGGACATGTCACTCTGAAAGCTGCTTAGCTTCTACTTGAAAGAGCGGGTCCGCTGCAGAGCGCTTAGCTAGTCTCAGCCACTTCGTTTTCTTTGAGTTGTAGAAAGTCTGCTGGGAAGTGCACCATTGCTCACTTGGCAGCGCGGAAAGTTTTGACCTCTCCATCACGGAACTCAACTTCAGGTGTAACAAGTCTTCACCAGTTGTGGCCGCGAAACTTGTTCGAGGTCAGACACAGACTCCTGTAATCAAAGAAAATCGAACCTGAAGGCAAAATACCATGCAGCTAATTTACATATTTCTATGTCTATCTAAAACATATTAAGATATTATCGTATATCATCATATATGATCTATATTATCTATATTTTAAAACATGAACTCACCAAATTCTGCTGAGAAGGCCAGGTTAGGTTCCAAGCGCAGCTGATCTCTTTGCCTTTTGTGTCTCCAGAGGCTTGGTACCAAAATCTGGATCCTACAACTCAGCTGGTGAAGCTGGGGAGATACGGACAGTGACCAGCCCACAACAGCTGGAGATTTACAAAGACCAGCAAAAAACACTGTTTGAGGTGGGGAGAGCAGTCACACCAAGAGACTAACAAAGCACTTGACAGGCCAAACGTGGATGTCCGTGGTCAATGTCAATGGCAGCGCAAATATGAAACACTGGAGCTGTTTCGGCCTCAATGCAGTAACAGGCAGGACGAAAACGAATGTCCTGGCAGTTGATTTGACCCTTGGTGAAGTTCAGGCGCAGAGATGTTAGACATTTGCGCATTTTGGCAACTTCTACTATAAACCATGCGCTCTTGTGTTGTTTTGTTGGGACATTTCATCAGCAAACTTGCATGATTTGCTCTTCAAAGTAAATAGAATACTTAAACCTCGACGCATGTGAGATAGTGAATATTGAGCGAAATAGAATCACGCAAGAGAAAGTTTTGCAGGATCCAAATTAATCCACCAGTGAAAACCTTGCAACTGCATGGAATTCGTCTGGCACTTTCTGCCTTTTTGAACACTGAAAATTGCTGTGCTGTCTCCTCCACCGCATGGTCTGCGATGTGGCTCCGCGGCGTTCCAAATGCCCGCATGGGATTTTCTTCGTGGATATTGCAGACAAAAGCAAAAAACGCGTTTACCACCGGTGGAATGGCAATAGTTTTATACCGGGACTATGCTTGGTGGACCCCTTTGATCTATGTCTCTCTCAAAGCTGAAATTGGCTGCGAACAGCGACAACTCTGGATACATCCAAACACCTGTGTGAACATGATGTGAGTTCAAGAGGGATAACTCCAGGGAGTCATGAGATAAGCCGATGTCTGCTGTTGCAAGAACCGCATTTCATCACCAGAATTGGCATGCAGCCAAGAGATGCAGCGATGGCCACTGCAGTTTCTGCAGATCTTGGTCGATGGGATCTGCTAGACTTGTGCTGTTCACCACAGCATCGACGAAACATACAGCATCCATTCTTTGCAGCGCAACATCTTTGCAGCTGACACAACATATTCTTTGCTTCCACCACTCCTGGCAGCACAAAATGAACCTTGACATATTTTGCTGAGAGTGTGACCTTGGAACGCGATCAAATCCTCTCAGCAATACTGAAACACATTAGATCATTAGATCTGTCAGATATGTCATGGCCTATGCAAGTTTGACATAGTCTAGAAGACGTTTCAAGTGCTCATCACAGCTAGTCTTGAAAATGCCTGTTCAGCTGCTAGTTCAGCTGCCCATGAATATCACGTTCTGGAAGGAACAGGTTTGATTGAAATGGACTAGAAGGCCTTTGAAGATCACAGCAACATGTATCCCTCTCGACAGAACGATTTGCTTTTCCATGCTGTTACGTGGCAAACAGTGAGCCTCACTTTGCTTTGGAATTTTCTTGTCTGGAGTCCTGGCTGACACAAGAAAACCAAATCTCAGCTACCTGCAGCTCATGCACAAACAATCGTTGCAAAGCAACGAACCGCTGACCACTGATTCTTCAAACTTGATCCAGCAAACCTGCCACAAGCAGTGCCCCGATGTCATCCATATCTATCCAACCATTAGCACCACCCAATCTCCACTTTCTAGACCTGCTACCTTAGCTTACGAACGCTGCCAGGTGAAGTCTTGAAACAAAAAAGTTGCAGCTTTGCCTCGACTTTTGGTGGATTCATGTGCTTCTCCATGCATTGGCGGAACCTCACTCAAGAGAATTCCTTCTCTACGTGTGATCAAACAGGAAACCCCCAGGCCCCCATGAGCTATCTTTCTAAAGTCTTTGATACAGAGGCTGCAAAAATCGATCGCAGCCCCGCAACATATGATCAGATAAAATACCCTCTGGTAATTTAACATAGCTATGGAAAATCACCATGCTATTAATGGGTAAATCGACTATTTCAATGGCCATTCTCAATAGCAAACTGTTAGTTTACCAGAGGGTATCCATATGATCAGAATTTGATCATCTCATATCATCTGAATATTCTCTCTGTAAAACGCAGATACTGAGCGAATGTCTTGTAGGTGATGGTCTCACAGTCCACCATGTCCCGCGTATTCTCCTAAGTGAAACAGGAATGCAGGAATGCAGAAAAGTAGGCTTGTTCATGTAGGATTCAAGTAAAAAACTGGTTGTACAAAGCTAGTCCAGCACAAACCCCTTCTATATCTATGTCAAAAGTGGAAATGAAGATGATCAAATCCCAAGGTTCAGGCATATTCTTTGCAACATTTGATGTAGGCTTCATAATCCTCTTGACAAGGCATTGGCTCCCTGCACAGTTGGCAAACTGAAGGCTGGTAATGTGGTACCAAATCGGAAGCAAAGAAAGTGATAGATGCTTTATACACTTTAAACCTTAGGGGATGTTGAACAAGTCAAACATGGTGCAAAGCTGCAGCTTCAAAGTGTCTGGAATTGTCTCAAACGGTCTTGCTGTGATGCCTTTGGCCCAGAGATGCTCCCATACAGCGGGCTACAGCCAGGTGAAACCGAAATGGCTACCGATGTTTCTCTTTCCGAACTGTGTCAGCCTGCCCTTCTGAAACTTCTCATTGTGTTGTCGAGCAGTGAATGCTGGCGCCTTGTCCCTGGTGATTGCATTGAGAACATGAGGGATATCAGGGATATCACTCTTTGTGAATGTGTAAGAGCATGCTCTTGAGCCCAAACAGGACAAACAAACCTCATGATTCAACAGTGAGGGTGCCAAATGGCTGTTGCAGCTTTGGACATGGTTGGAGTTACCAACTTTGCCTTTCAGAAACTGCTGCAGTCGAAACTGCTACGATCCACTTCCTAGTAAAAAATCTTTTAGCTTCATTTCCCATCCACCTGGAAAGCTCAGCTCGGTGAGTATCAGCTACACATGCGCTGAGAGCTCCCTGATTTTTTCCTCATCAAACGGTCGCTGGCCCATCAGAATGCCTCGGCCGCTGGGCGCCGGGCAGGTGGGGTGAACCCAAGTTGTTTCTGCAACCCTTGAGACACCTGGGGTGACACCTCATCAAAGGACTATTGTAAGACTTACTATATCTTACTATCTTACTATACTTTGATGACCAGTTAGAATACCATCAAAGCCATCCGCTACCTGATGGACTAAGCTAAGTTGTTGACACTCTGCAAGGTAAATCTGGCCATTGCTCTGAGATCATCGCCTTGGTTCCGGGTTGGAGAGGCCGCAAGGCCTCCACAAAGCCGCAAGACGTTCGGCAGCGAGGTGGTTTGGACATTTTGGACCATCCATGTTTCGGCAACAGCTGGATATGACCAGCTACTTTGGAGTTTTTCATTGTGACGACATCGCCTTTCATCATCCGAAAAACACATACCACATACCAATATTTTAGGATTTTATGGAAGATAGCATAAACATGTTTGATCCGGTAGTCTTGTTGGGTATTCATTCAGAGCGAATCACTAAAATAGTCTTCGAAGATCATCATCCTAGACTCACCCGGCCTCGGGGAGCAAACTTGAAGGCACATCCTTCTTGGCCACTTGCCAGGCATCCTCCGAATCCTTGCGCCAAATCACTTTTCACCATGCATCCTATGGCATAATCCATAAGATCAGCGGCTTCTGGTGGGATACTACAACCGGCACAAACTTCTGCCATTATAATCAGCGGTACTTTACATAGATGTCCCATTCAACTCATGTACTAGGCTATGGGTGCATGTTGAAGCGAATTTTGCACAACAATTCAACTGCAGGGTGACATTCCAAAACGTGGGCGACCTTCAAACATGGACATACGCCACGTTTCCCTGTCGTAGGGACCGAACCGCCCGCAGCGGTAAACATAAGGTGAGTGTCGCCTTTCCATGGGAACACACTGGTCGTTGATATGAAATCTGCGTATGAGCCTACGATTGATTTTGTCTTCTTGTCATTGTCCTTCAACACAATATCCCACCAAAGTGCATACAAATCATTCACAAGTATACCATTGATCGTTAAGCCTTGGTAAAGAGCCAAGAATGCGCGACTGTCAATAAGGAGTAATCAACATTGATCATCGTCAACAGATTAGTTCACAACATGTTTAGTTTAGAATGCTTTATGATCAAACCTGCATGCACCTTATCCATCAACCATCAGGTGACTAAGTATGAGTGATTGAGCACTCATTGATCAGCTGTTTTTACTGGCCCTGATCAAATTTCAATGCATAGTAGCACCGAATACATGCTATTAGACAATATCAACATTTCACGGTAATGGCTGCTGAACTGGTGCCTTCACTGGATAGAACCTGTCAGGGTCCAGGAAGTACTGCTCTGCCCAACCTTGGCCGATGGTGAGTCATGGTGAAAACATCGCTAAGTTTCTTCATCCTTAGTGATATCTCTTGATGGTTGCTGATTTCTAGACTTGCTTTATTAATTCAGTTGACAACTCTTGTTATACTTCAGAGTAACCCATGGATCACGGTCCTGTCAAATCAAGGACAACTAGCGGGAGATATTAAACATTTAATTATCTAGTTTTGCCCATCAGAATAAAGGATCTGATTGAACTGCATGCCGTATTGAGATTACTGGCCATGGAATCAATGATTGCAAACAGTGCATTATCATGAGTCCAAGATAATATTGTAACACATAGCATCATTCGTAATCCCTGTGCTGTCCACTGCTGATGTGCGCGGTGCTTTGAAAGCCTTTGTGCACCATGTTTCACACTTGTTGATTTTCATGTTTGTGTTCTGTGAAGATTCCAAAAAGGTATCGAAGACTTATGATACTTAGCCCATTTTCCGCTGCTCACCTGCAAAGTTGGACACTTATGTTTGATTGGGTCGATACTGGGCGCCACCGGACCTTGCAATCAGATTTGGAACTTTGGGCAACATCACCAAAGATACATAATGATCGGTATTCCAGGATAGTCCAACTGAGAAATGTCAGGCAATACAGGGCCTCAAACGATTCAATCACCAAATCATAATTTTGCAACACTCTCTCTTGACATCTCTTGAACATCCTTCTCGGACTTCTTTGCCACATAGTCTTGCGACCAAGAAACGAAGAAGATGAGATGGCAGCTGACACTTGTTCTTCTCGAGTTGCGCAGCCAAGGATGCCAAGAAGAACCTACACCATGGTCAACAGGTCCCTCAAGTCTGAACTTCATTGCAAACAAGATGACGGGTAGATAGGGTTGGGGGTTTCCCAAGAAAAAGCGGATGCTATGCCAGCATGGGATGGGGTTGAGCGTGTTAACATTTGAATTTGCACACGCGATTGAGGCTACACTGTGCACAGAATTGGGTGGGCCACTCTGAAGAACAGTTGCAAAGGAAAAAACAATGCACCTGTCAGCCCTGACTTTGTCAATAGCGCACATCGATGGCCCACGCTCTCTCTTCCATGAGAATTGGATGTGGAGAGTATCTGTGATGATCCTTGATGTATATCTCAACGTATTTAGCAGTCGAGGAAGCATTATATTGACACTCGTTGGCTGAAAGGGGACGTACCTTACCGTGAGAATGGAGCCATCGGATGTGCTTGCTATATCTGTTTGACATCAACATTGAAACATGTCAAACAACTGGCATCCTGCTCCCCGTACGCTTTACTGCAAGGCTTTATTTCAACATGCATCGTTTGGAGAAACCAGATGCACTTAGGTGAATGCATTTTCACAGCCAAAATTTACTCCAAGTCGTCATTCAGAGCAGAACTCACCTCACTCTGCTACTCTGTTGACTCAGGATGACTCAGGTATTGAGAACTCAGCACTTTGACAGGCCCCATTTCTGGCCTGAGGTCTTCGATGTCGTGCTGAAAGCAGTAGTCTGCAGTCGTCATCCTGCCATCGGCTCATTGGCACTTGACCCCTGAAACTGCTGGCTGGTGAAGGTAAATGGTATTGAAGTGATGACACACGCAGTGGAAAACACATCGGTTTGATATGGTTTCCATCAATTTCCTATGAGTTGTGAAGCAAGCGTACACCTAAAACCCCAAACGTACCCACGCTCCAATCGCTGCTCCTGGATATCCAGCTTGGTGTGCTGCTTCAAGACTGGCAGAAAACCTGTGGATCCATCGGATCCATGGCCAAAAGTAGCGCAAGGTCAGGTGACTCAATGAGGCTGTCAAACTTGTTTAGCTAAACATTGTGTTCTCGCTTTTTGTAAAGGGTCACACCCAGAAACCTATCCTTCATTGTCGGGTTTGGCAAATTTCACTTCTGAGATAAGTACCGGCCTTTATTGTTCTTTTGCGGCTTTGTATCCATTCATGGCAATATGAACGATGGAATTGCTCAACTCGAGACAAAACAGCAGAATGTTCATGGCGGGAATTACACCAGTTCATCAAACACGTATCTAGCGTCCATCATCAGTTCCATCGGTGTCTAACTTTGTCTTCGAGTCGGGTATATATCCTACGGCCAGGCAGCGCCAATGTGAGTATTCGTGGGCAAGGTGCTCCACTTCAGTCTTGAAATCACCATTGGTCAGCCATGACAACTGGAGATGACCTTGTGAGAATCAGCACCTCTTGTGGTTTCCGCTTGTGACATCATGTTAGCCTTCCCTCATCATAGTTGACCTCAGGTTCTGCTTGATCGAAACCTCCACGGTCCAACTGCACCAGGCCTTTGAGAGTGCGCTCTCCTTTGACGCTGATTCTGCTTGTCGCCTTTCACACAGAGCTGAATCACCTCAGCACTGGTGGACGTAATCCACTGGCTTCATCTTTTCAGCATCCAACTCTCGGGGATGACCTGCAAACTTTTCGACTGCTGACTTTTCCATAAGTTCGAAAGCATGGGGAGACTCCACTTCGGTTCGACTTCTTGTTTCAACATTTGACAGTCTCTCCATGCTTTGGAAGGAACTCCAACAATATCTCCAAGCAACCTCCATTTGACAGTCAAGCAATATCTCCAACAACCTCCAGGTGATCATTGACTGTACCCCTCAGTTACCCACAGGGATGTGCGACTCCTCTTTCGGACAGGATCTTGGCTGAGAAGAATCAAAGGACAGGTGATGGCATGTTGTGCCGTCGCAGCTCTGAAAATGAAACCAAGCATAGCATGGCATAGCATGGCCGCATCTGAGGGTTGTGGATAGTTCTCACAAAGGTCTCCCCATTTTCGCGAAAAAAAACACTCAACTTTGTTGAAGTCAAACTTTCTAATTCTCTGCTAGTCACTGAGAGCAGCTGTTTACAAAAGCTTTTTTTGGCAATCACACAGAAGGTCAATCACTACCGTTTACTATTTACTATTACATCACGCTTTCCGCAGTCGTATCCTTGCTGTGCACATGATCAAACACTCCACATGTAAGCAATCTAACTGTTTGACTTTTCCTCCAAGGAAGCGCCGTCTGCACACGCTCAGCAAGCCCACATGTGTGCGGCGGGCCAGCAAGACCAGTGTTGAAACTCGGCATATTCTGCTCGTCTCACTAGCTGCTCTGCCGTCCAGTCCCGGAGGTCAAGATATTTCTTGAAAATTGCCTGAGCATGCGCCTCTTCAAAGCCGGGTCGTGTTGTTTCTTGCAGAAGCACATGTTCCAGATTTTCACATTGCTGGGCCACTGCGAGGTTTTTTTGCCCTCGATCTTCACAGCGTCTTTGCGACTGGAAGAGCATATGTTCGAGAGCGTCTGCCTGAGATTGAGCTGCTTCAGCAACACTTCGCGCCTGCCCAAGCAGATGTTCCAGATTTTCGCACTGGTGGGCCAAGGCTACATTTTTTCGCTCTAGCTCTTCACAGTATCGCGTCTGTGCAAGGAGGTGTCCCAGATTTTCGGCACTTTTTTGCTCTAGATCTTCGCAGCGTCTTTGCGACTGTAAGACCATTCGTTCCAAATCCCCTGCCCGAGCTTGAGCCTCCTCAGCGACCCATTGCGACTGTGCAAGCATGGTGACGCTTTTTCGCTCTAGCTCTTCACACCGTCTTTGCGACTGCAAGAGAGTGCGTTCCAGATCGTCTGCCCGAGCTTGAGCCTCCTCAGCGACCCTTTGCGACCGTGCAAGCATGCCTTCCAAATTTTCACATTGATGGGCCATGGTGACGCTTTTTCGCTCTAGCTCTTCACAGCGTCTTTGCGACTGCAAGAGAGTGTGTTCCAGATCGTCTGCCCGAGCTTGAGCCTCCTCAGCGACCCTTTGCGACTGTGCAAGCATGCGTTCCAGATTTTCACATTGATGGGCCATGGTGACGCTTTTTCGCTCTAGCTCTTCACACCGTCTTTGCGACTGCAAGAGAGTGCGTTCCAGATCGTCTGCCCGAGCTTGAGCCTCCTCAGCGACCCTTTGCGACTGTGCAAGCATGCGTTCCAGATTTTCACATTGATGGGCCATGGTGACGCTTTTTCGCTCTAGCTCTTCACAGCGTCTTTGCGACTGCAAGAGAGTGCGTTCCAGATCGTCTGCCCCTGGTTCACGTTGCTGGCTCGAGGTCAGTTCCTCTTGCTGCGGGGGGCTTCCATGCAAAAAAACGCTGATGGGGCATTGCATCAACTTCAAACCTTCAGAATTGCGGCCAATAGTTTCAAACCCCAAGCCTGTCCAAGCAGCCTCCGATGTGCGCAGGCTGGCCAAACGGAACACGCCTGTAGCGTGCTGCGCCAACAGTTCCAAGAATCTGCGACACAACCCGCGGCGTCGGAAGCTCCCTTCAATGGCCAGTTTTTCGATCCACAATCCACCGCCCTCTGCCCAAGCCTGCGCAAAGCCAGCCAACACCGTGTCCTTTGTGAGGGCATAAATCTTCCCTCGCACATTGCGGCCCCAACCAATGTTCTGACAAAACTCCCTCTGGGACAGCCGGCCGACTTCCTTCAGTAAATCCCCAGTCGGATCTGCAACAATTTGAAGCCCGTGCCACTGGCACTTGAAGACGGCAAAAAAAACCTCCGTGATTGCAGCCGCCACCGCAGCTACCCAGTTGTTCTGCCTGACTATGAGGGGGCCAAGGTCAAACACAGCTGCCTCCAGGTCCATCGAGGGCATGAAAGGAGATCGCGCCTGCATCCGAGCCAGGACTATGGCCACCACCAGTCCAACTTCGAAAACGCACAAAACATGGCAAGCCAGCATTCCGAAATGAAGGCGATGTTTGCAGAATGGCAAAATTGCAATCACGAGGACAAACCAAGCTTGTGGAAGGACCCTGAAATGGACAATCGCGAAACAATTTTCTCCATCACCAGTGCATTGCAAACTGGCTGGGCCATTTGGAATTGTTGTAATCACAGACAGCCATCTTGTGCATAAGATCCAGCACAACACACAGCTGCAGAGTGTCAGAAGAGCGGATAGCATAGACATTGCCATGGCTAGTCAAACCAGTCTCAAACTGGAAAGGAAAGGACCTGTTGGAAACGAGTGCAGGAAAAGAGATGCTGCACATGCCTGGTTTTCCAAACGTTCACGCGTTGGATGTATGATCTGCTTTCAGTATGGAACAGTGGATGATTTCCAACTGCCGAACTACTCGATGATTGGATTAAAATGTGTGCCTTTCCAGCCAAAGCATGGGCAGGCAAAGAAATGCAATGACACTTTAATGCATGAAAATGCCAGGCAAGTTCATTGATAGACCAAAAACATCTTCAACGACTTCCCAAATGTCCAACGACCCATTGAGGACTCCAACCAGTTGAGGCTGATTTGAGAGACACACGGGATGCCGTGGAGGCCTCAAAACGCAGCCAGCGGCGAATGATGTCCACCAATAGCAACCAGTGTCTTGGTCACGTTGAAAATGACTATAAGTAATGTGCAATTGAAGAATCTGAGAGCAACAGAATCCCAAAGCTCTATGGCTTTGAAATAACCGGATGCTGGATCGCGGATCAGTCAGATTCTTTGAGCACGTTTGAACTGCCCTTATTTTGGTGAAAGATCCTATGCCAGGCCAGGCCACTGTATCACTGAGTCCCAATGATAGGCTCAATTTTTCAAGTGCCTAAAGACATCTAAAGCCTAAACAACCCTATCCCTGGGTTTCCAAACGTCAAGCTGCGTTGTCCTGGCAACGCCAACATTGAACCATTCAAAGACTAAAAACGCGATGATTCGACCGAAAACTTGACGAAGCAGCTGGAATCACAAAGCACACGTGGGTTTCTTTCCTCCGTACCTGGGCATGACATCGTCATAACCTGGGCAACATGAGATTCGACCAGAGGTATCAGGTAGCATGGTTATGAAGAGTCATTCTTCGACAGTCATGAAATGGCTATTGATGGCATATACATTGGTGGTATGACGGCATGTAGAGCCACATTACGAACGGATGGTTTTCCCGCGTGATTGTGGCCTGACATTTTGGTTGGCCATACTTCTGGTAATGAAGTACCTGAACGAACGCTGTGAAGCAACTCTGTTGCACGAAAGGCCTGGTTCTGAAAAGGCAAAACAGCATAATTTGGGACTCACAGACTCGAGCACTGAATACCAGAGAACCACTTTGGCCCAGAGCTGATATATCCTCCAGTTCGATTGCGAGGGGTTGAAACAGTCGTGAGGTGATTACCCGAATTTTGCGAACAGAAATGTCAAAATTGTCCCAGAGATGATAGATTCATGATCATTAACCCAAATTCTTGCATGGCGTCCTCCATTTCTTGCCTGTTTGCAGGTTTACCTGCTGGATCCCATGACTTTCCCCCGATCTCTTTGGGCGTCCGTGCTGCAAATGCCGATGTCATCACAGGCACGAAGCAAGGAAGCCTTGGACGAGTCTATCTATAAATCACTACTGGTTCAACTTTTGTGGTTCATGGTTAAGGGCTTATTTGCTGACAGTTCGTAGTTCTGGTTTATTTAACGCTTCATGGTCAACATAAGGCTTGGAATAAACGCTGAATGATCTGGCGGATGCTTCATGGATCATAGTTCATGGTTGGTCGTTAACAGATCAAATTTGGTGGTGAACAGCAGATGCATTGCGCAAGTATCGGTCCTGCTGCTCATTGTCCCAGTCCTGACGGACAATCGCTCTGACAATTGTCCCCAGTGACTTTCTTTACATGTCTTTACTCTTTGGTCACTGCCTTTTCTCACCCACCGTGACATTTTGATGTAGTCCATCCCTTGCTCTTGGCCGTTGAAACTATCATCGGAAGAGGAAGTTAGGAAATTTAAAAGCTTGAAACAAGTACAACGACCTGATCAATATGCCCAACCCAGATCAGTCCTAGCAAGGCCAAAAGGCACAAAGCACGCACTCAGTTCTAAGTTTTAAGTCAGTCCAAATATGTCCAAATAAGTTAGTTACACTTGAGAAGATACGCCAGTCCTTCTGGGCAATGATATCAAGTTCAGCTTTGGTCTCAATCTGCAATGTGGCCTGGACGAGATCACTTCAGCTGACCTGATCAACTTTACGAAAATGAATTTACATACAATCTAATCAAAATTCACCGGCATAGACCCCAGATAGAACATATACTTACTGACAAAGGTTGCCTGACTATCCTTCATGCTTATCATATCTTACTATATTGAAGTCACCTCTATTGCCGCAGCTTTATTAGATTGAACATCAGGTCTGCAGCATACAAATGTGCACAGAACATCCAACCTGTACGGCCCCCAAAGCACTGACATCATTTTTGAAGCCCCTGGTTCCACCAGACATGAGCAGTCACAACTCCACAAACTTCCAACATTTTTGCATCGCGAAGCCGTTCAAAATTTCACTCTAGGCCTGCCGGTAGGACCTCCACGTCTGTGGCTATCTCAAAGGATGGAAGCTTGCCATTGGAGGCATCGAAGGTCAACTTCCAGACCACCTGTTCCATCTTCTCCTCATGTTTGGCATCGGACTTGTTGTGCTTCAGGAAATCCGACACCTTGCGCAACATATATCGGACATGCTGCCCTGCCTGAGTGAAACTCTTTTCGTGATCCTGCTGAATCTCCTCAGCCGAGAACCACTTGACAGAGAGAAGCCGTGTTTGACTGTCATCCAACTTGCACCCCAGGATGTGCTCACTGCCATTCAGTGCGATTTGGAGCACCGCTGAATGCCTGGACCGGTTTAGGTGCAGTACAAAAGGCGCTGGGTTCACTCCTTTTTCTGACTTATATAAAAACAACAACCCAAGAAACACTGCAATGAATGAACATGGCTCATGAAACCACGACTGTTGAAAAGCGGCCCAGTGGCTGGATCCCGTTCCCCACACATCGAACAAATCGAACAAACGGAACAAAAGTTTGAGACTCAAAACCCAAAATCATTAGTAATTCTTGCTTGGTGTCTTCACGATCTGTTCTGTCTTGGAGCTCTTGATCTCCACCAAATTCGAATGTGAATCGGTTGCGTCAACCTGCGCAGATGGTGCATGTCTGCGTTCCAAGTTTTTCAAATTCTCACGATTTTCAACCCACATATCCTCAGTGTAAGAACACGGTGGCTGTGAGCACGCATGTTGCACCGGGCTTGTGTTCAGCGCAAAGCATCGATGACTTGACTCTTCAATGACTAATTATTCTGTTAACCTTTCTCCTAGAGCAAGTAGCTCCAGAGCAATGCCAAGCTGGAAAAAGAGAGGCACTTCCAACCAACACAAACGAACGCAACCAAGAACAACCATGCAGCTCCAAGACGAAAATGTGATTTGAACATGACATCTCTTCCTGATGTTCTGATGTTGTTGCATGGTACAGCTACATACTGTTACAGTGTCGGCTTCAGCTTTACTGATCCTTGGGCGATGTCCTTGAGGTCAAATTGTCTGAACGTGTATGGAAAAACAACATTTCCCAACGGTTTTATGGCATTTTGTGCGTGCCTTGGCAGCTTCTATCAGTGGCACGGAGCATGAATTATTCAAATCGTTCGAGGCAAACGCTCGTTGAGAACTTCACATCTGGGCCTTGAAAATGGATTGGTTTCACGTTAATTTTCTGTAGTTTTCCCGTGTTTGTCTGGACATTCCGTTCTCCTTTTCAGTTGTGGACCTATGACTACATCACACATCATCACACGACATCACCGGGGCGCTGCAGTTTCAATGCAAACCGGCCGCCCCGCCTCGCTGACTACAAAGAAGGTCTGCCCATCGATGGCCACGGTTGTGCCAGCTGCGAAAAAACCTGATCTGCGAGGATCTGTGCAGATTGGCAGCAATTGTTCTGAAGAGCCAGCAATATTCGATGTGCAACACAAGAATACACCAGTAACAACCACAACCTGATGCACCAGGAAACTCATGCGAATAACTTTGCTTGTGTATGGGTATCGGTATAAGTACCGGTATAAAATGGTACCAGTAGTACCGCACAAGGCGGCGGCGGAAGTTTCAAAAATAGGAAACCTATAGGAAAGATTGGTTGTTGTGAATCAGGGATGGCAGAGCGAATCCACTGATGGACCGAAAGATGCTTGAGGTTTCCTCTCTTTCTCTCTCTCTTTCTCTGACTACCTACCCACCTACCAACCTTTCCTCTATGTATCTATCTATCTATCTATCTATCTATCTGTCCATCTATCTATCTATCTATATGTCTATCCATCTATCCATCTATCCATCTATCCATCCATCTATCTATCTATCTAGCTATCTATCTGTCTATGTAACTATCTATCTATCTATCTATCCATCTATCTATCCATCTATCTATCCATCTATCTATCCATCTATCTATCCATCTATCCATCTATCCACCTATCCATCTATCTATCTATCTATTCTATTCTATTCTAATCTAATCTAATCTAATCTCTCTCTCTCTCTATCTCTGTCTGTCTGTCTGTCTGCCTGCCTGCCTGCCTGGCTGTCTGTCTGTCTGTCTGTCTGTCTCTCTATCTATTTATCTAGCTGTCTATCTATCTATCTATCTATCTAATAATCTATCGTATCTTATCTTATCTTATCTATATATCAATCAATCAAAAAACCTACCTATCTATATGTCTATCCATCTATCCATCTATCCATCTATCTATCCATATATCTATCCATCTATCCATCTATCTATCCATCTATCTATCTATCTATCAATCTATCAATCTATCTATCTATCTATCTATCTTGGTATCTCACTATCTATCCATCTATCTATCTCTCTCTCTCTCTGTGTCTATCTGTCTATCTATCTGTCTATGTATCTATCTTGGTATCTAACTATCTGTCTATGTGTCTATGTATCTATCTGTCTATCTCTCTATCAATTTATCTAGCTGTCTCTCTATCTATTTGTCTATCTGTCTCTCTGTCCATCTATCTATCTATCTGCCTGTCTGTCTGTCTATCTATCTATCTATCTATCTATCTATCTGTCTAGCCATCTATCTATATCTATCTATCTCTCCGACTCTCTATCAATCAAACTGTCTCTCTATCTATCTGTCAATCTGTCTATCTATCTATGTATCTTTCCATCGATTTATCTATCTATCTTGGTATCTAACTATCTGTCCATGTGTCCATCTATCTATTTATCTATCTACCTATCTGTCTATCTATCTTTGTATCTATCTGTCTAGCCATCTATCTATATCTCTGTATCTCTCGGGCTATCTATCGATCAAACCGTTTCTCTATCTATCTGTCTATCTGTCTACCTGTCTGTCTATCTATCTATCTATCCATCTATCAATGTAACTATCTATCTATCTATCTATCTGTCTACCTGTCTATCTGTCCAACTATCTCTCTATCTATCTGTCTATCTATCCAACTATCTATCGATAAAACTGTCTCTCTATCTATCTGCCTATCTGCCTATCAATCAATCAATCAATCTATCTATCTATCTATTTTTTTAGCTCTCTCTCTCTATATTTGTCTGTCTGTCTATCTGTCTATCTGTCCATCTATCTGTCTATCTGTCTATCTGTCCATCTATCTATCTTTCTATCTATCTATCTGTCCATCTATCTGTCTATCTATCTATATGTCTATCCATCTATCCATCTATCTATATGTCTATCCATCTATCCATCTATCTATCTATCTGTCTGTCTGTCTGTCTGTCTGTCTGTCTATGTAACTATCTATCTATCTATCTATCTCTCTCTCTCTGTCTGTCTGTCTGTCTATCTGTCCATTTGCCAGATTGAAAAGGAAGCTCTTCTGCGAGACTTCCCCATTTTTCGAACTTAACGACATCAAAAACACAATGAAAGGACCGGATAACCCCACAAGTCAACTTCTTCCAATAATGAGCTTCAATGGTTTTAGCGGGGACAAGGAAGGAAGGAAAGACAAAGGAGGTGGTGAAAGATCGAGAAGGTAAAACGGTATGTATGTATGTATGTATGTACGTATGTACGTACGTACATATGTATCTATGTAGTTGTATGTGTGTGACAAAGTTGCGTGTGAAAGATGCTGCGTGTGAAAGATGATGTGTGTGCGCGGCAGTGCAGACCATTTTTTTCGCCAGCGCTGCAATGTCATCTGCTCTGCATGCGGCAGCACAGCGGACCTGGAATGGGCTGAATGAGGTGTTCCATGATCTTCTGTGCTCCATGATCTTCTGTGCGTGTGACAGCCGCGCCTGTCCTGCAACCACGAATCCGACGATGATGACATAGAGGAAAGGTACCTGGCCGCAAAACTTTAGAACACGAATGTAGCTGGTTGTCAATGCAACTATGGAAGACAAGTACACAGCGCATGCCTGTCAAGGCACGACACAGTCACAGCGGCAAGCACCATGGTTATGACGCTAACTGCGCAGGTTTTTCCAAAGATGTCAAGCAACCACAAAGTTCAGAAACACACAGGCGTCGCGAACATTCACATAGGTGTCGGTTCGCCAGGCATCTTTGAATGCGTTAGGCTTCACTTGACTGACTATGTCATTGCTTCGGTATGCGTGTTAGAGCTGGTGTCCACAACTTCTAGTTGGGCCAAAGCGACTAAGACAGAACAACATAATGAGACTCTGCATGCAAAAAACTTCACGCCATTGTTATGTCTGCGTTGCACAATGTTGCTCCAGGCGCAGTTGGGCCCTGCCTGTCGTAGCGACCACAACGAAGACAACCACCTGGCCGCAAATGTGACTGGAAATGAAACAAGCCAAAAGAAGAAAGCTATTAAACATGTCAGAAAGCAAACATGCCAAAACAGGCAAGAGTCGCACGCAGCGGTCCGTTGAACGTCTTGCCGTCCTTCTTGCGGCGAGCACGCCAACCATTAGCAAGTTGTTGCACCGCCATAGCTGCACAAAACCAATGGAAATAACCAATCTAATCGAAGGAAGTTTAGAAGTCAAACTTCCGACAGTATGGACAGATGAAAAGCAGAGTAGGGAAGAGGCAGAGAGAAGAGAAAGATTAGAAGAAAGAAGAGTAGAAGATAAAGAGTAAGAAGAAAGAAGATGCAGGTGCGCGAAAGCGTAGGAAAGTTGCGAAACACTGTGTTTTTCCAATGATTTGGGGCTCCGGAGGGTCGAAAAGTAGGCTCGCTAAAGCGGCGGGTGCGGAGCCAGCTGGCCAGATGAGAGATGAAAAATTGCACGCCGTTGTGGCGCGAAGCACATTTCGAAGTGAAGATGCACAAAACACACCAGGTCCGGACCACTTTTGGCAGTTGAGATGTCGAAAAAGTGTACGCCATTGTGGCGCGAATCACATTTCGAAGTCAAAATGTACAAAACACCTCAGCATCGGACCGCTTTTGGAAGTAGCAATGTCGAAAAAGCACGCCGTTGTGGCGCGAAGCACATTTCCAAGTCAAAATGTACAAAACACACCATTCTCGGACCACTTTTGGAAGTTGAGATGTCGAAAAAGTGCACGCCGTTGTGGCGCGAAGCACATTTCCAAGTCAAAATGTACAAAACACCACATGTTCGCGCCACTTTTGGAGGTTCGGATGTTGAAAAAGTGCACGCCGCTGTGGCGCGAAGCACATTTCCAAGTCAAAATGTTAAAAACACTAGGGGTTCGGACCACTTTTGGAGGTTCAGATGTCGCTTCGCTTCGCTTCACTACACTACACTACATTACACTACACTACACTCCACTACACTACACTACACTCCACAACACTACAACTACAACTACACAACTACACACCACTACACTCCACTACACTCCAGTACACTACATTACACTACACTACGCTCAATTACACTACACTACACTGCACTACATTACACTACACTACACTACCTTCCACTACACTTCACTACATTACACTACACTACACTCCACTACAACTACACAACTACACTCCACTACACTCCACTAGACTACACTACATTACACTACACTACGCGACACTACGCTACCTTCCACTACACTTCACTACATTACACTACACTACACTCCGCTACACTACAAATACACCTACAACTACACAACTACACTCCACTAGACTCCACTACACTAAATTACACTACACTACACTACATTACACTACACTACACTCCACTACACTACATTACACTACACTGCACTACACTCCACTACACTCCACTACACTAAATTACACTACACTCCACTACACTAAATTACACTACACTACACTACATTACACTACACTCCACTACACTACATTACGCTACACTACACTACCTTCCACTACACTTCGCTACATTACTCTACACTACACTCCACTACACTACAACTACAGCTACACAACTACACTCCACTACACTCAATTACACTACACTACATTACACTACACTACACTCCACTGGACTACATTACACTACACTACCTTCCACTACACTCCACTACACTAAATTACACTATACACTACACTTTACTACATTCCACTGCGCTCCACTACACTACACTACATTACACTGAATGACACTGCACCACAGATAGACAGGTAGACAGATAGACAGACAGACAGACAGATAGATAGACAGGTAGACAGCTAGACAGATAGACAGATGAAAGCGAGAGAGAGAGAGAGAGATAGATAGATAGACAGATAAATAGACAGATAGACAGATAGACAGGTAGACAGCTAGACAGATAGACAGATGAAAGAGAGAGAGAGAGAGATAGATCGATAGATAGACAGATACATAGAAGATAGATAGGTAGGTAGATAGTCAGAGAAAGAGAGCGAAAGAAAGGAGACCTCAAGCACCTTTCGGTCCATCAGTGGATTCGCTCTGCCATCCCTGATTCACAACAACCAACCTCTCCTATAGGTTTCCTATTTTTGAAACTTCCGCCACCGCCTTGTGCGGTACTACTGGTAACATGACTGACTAGTTGTTGTAATTGTGGTTGTAGTGGTGGTAACACTATGCGCTGCAATGTCTGCTTCGGTGACCTCTTTCCACGTTGGGCCAAAATCACCAAAGCAGAAATACGCAGCTCCGGTCGTTTCTTTCCACGTTGGGCCAAAACGACCAGAGCAGCAAGAGCTTCACAAAACCAATGGAAAGAACCAATCTAACATGACTGACTAGTTGTTGCAATTGTGGCTGTAGTGGTGGTAACACTATGCGCTGCAATGTCTGCTTCGGTGACCTCTTTCCACGTTGGGCCAACATCACCAAAGCAGAAATACGCAGCTCCGGTCGTTTCTTTCCACGTTGGGCCAAAACGACCAGAGCAGCAAGAGATGATCCAATGACCGCATCTTTGAATGCGTTAGGCTTCACTTGGCTGACTATGTCATTGCTTCGGTATGCGTGTTAGAGCTGGTGTCCACAACGTCTAGTTGGGCCAAAGCGACTAAGACAGAACAACATAATGAGACTCTGCATGCAAAAAACTTCACGCCATTGTTATGTCTGCGTTGCACAGTGTTGCTCCAGGCGCAGTTGGGCCCTGCCTGTCGTAGCGACCACAACGAAGACAACCACCTGGCCGCAAATGTGACTGGAAATGAAACAAGCCGAAAGAAGAAAGCTATTAAACATGTCAGAAAGCAAACATGCCACAACAGGCAAGAGTCGCACGCAGCGGTCCGTTGAACGTCTTGCCGTCCTTCTTGCGGCGAGCACGCCAACCATTAGCAAGCTGTTGCACCGCCATAGCTGCACAAAACCAATGGAAATAACCAATCTAACATGACTGACCAGTTGTTGCAATTGTGGTTGTAGTGGTGGTAACACTATGCGCTGCAATGTCTGCTTCGGTGACCTCTTTCCACGTTGGGCCAGCATCACCAAAGCAGAAATACGCAGCTCCGGTCGTTTCTTTCCACGTTGGGCCAAAACGACCAGAGCAGCAAGAGATGATCCAATGACCGCATCTTTGAATGCGTTAGGCTTCACTTGACTGACTATGTCATTGCTTCGGTATGCGTGTTAGAGCTGGTGTCCACAACTTCTAGTTGGGCCAAAGCGACTAAGACAGAACAACATAATGAAAGTTTGCATGCAAAAACACTTCACGCCATTGTTATGTCTGCGTTGCACAGTGTTGCTCCAGGCGCAGTTGGGCCCTGCCTGTCGTAGCGACCAGAACGAAGACAACCACCTGGCCGCAAATGTGACTGGAAATGAAACACGCCAAAAGAAGAAAGCTATTAAACATGTCAGAAAGCAAACATGCCACAACAGGCAAGAGTCGCACGCAGCGGTCCGTTGAACGTCTTGCCGTCCTTCTTGCGGCGAGCACGCCAACCATTAGCAAGTTGTTGCACCGCCATAGCTTCACAAAACCAATGGAAAGAACCAATCTAACATGACTGACTAGTTGTTGTAATTGTGGTTGTAGTGGTGGTAGCACTATGCGCTGCAATGTCTGCTTCGGTGACCTCTTTCCACGTTGGGCCAACATCACCAAAGCAGAAATACGCAGCTCCGGTCGTTTCTTTCCACGTTGGGCCAAAACGACCAGAGCAGCAAGAGAAGATCCGATGACCGCATCCTTGAATGCGTTAGGCTTCACTTGACTGACTATGTCATTGCTTCGGTATGCGTGTTAGAGCTGGTGTCCACAACTTCTAGTTGGGCCAAAGCGACTAAGACAGAACAACATAATGAGACTCTGCATGCAAAAAACTTCACGCCATTGTTATATCTGCGTTGCACAGTGTTGCTCCAGGCGCAGTTGGGCCCTGCCTGTCGTAGCGACCAGAACGAAGACAACCACCTGGCCGCAAATGTGACTGGAAATGAAAGAAGCCAAAAGAAGAAAGCTATTAAACATGTCAGAAAGCAAACATGAGACTCTGCATGCAAAAAACTTCACGCCATTGTTATGTCTGCGTTGCACAGTGTTGCTCCAGGCGCAGTTGGGCCCTGCCTGTCGTAGCGACCACAACGAAGACAACCACCTGGCCGCAAATGTGACTGGAAATGAAAGAAGCCAAAAGAAGAAAGCTATTAAACATGTCAGAAAGCAAACATGCCAAAACAGGCAAGAGTCGCACGCAGCGGTCCGTTGAACGTTTTGCCGTCCTTCTTGCGGCGAGCACGCCAACCATGCCAGCAGACGAAACATGAATTTGATACCAAAACAGGCCGGAGACGCAGCTAGGTAAACATGCTTGCAAACGAAACATGAATTTGATACCAAAACAGGCCGGAGAAGCAGCTAGGTAAACATGCTTGCAAACGAAACATGCATTTGAGACCAAAACAGGCCGGAGACGCAGCGAGGTAAACATGTTTATGTGAGTTTGTGCCACGCCTGCCACGTGAAATGATGGTGGATGTCACCAAGTGCCACGCCTGCCACATAGGCAGCCGCGGCATCACGGGCGACAAAACCGGGCTCAAGGGCGCCACCCAATGCCATAAGTGCCACGCCTGCCATGCAAAACGAAGGTGGATGTGAGTTTGCGCCACACCGGCCACGTGAAACGAAAATGGATGTCACCAAGTGCCACGCCTGCCACGCAAAGTGCCGCGGCGTCACAGGCGACAAATCCGGGCCCAAGCGCGCCACCCAATGCCATGAGTGCCACGCCTTCCACGCAAAACGACCGTGGATGTGAGTTTGTGCCAAAGCTGCCACGTGAGACGAAGGTGGATGTCACCAAGTGCCACGCCGTGCCGCGGCGTCACAGGCGACAAATGCGCGCCACCCAGCACCATAAGTGCCACGCCTGCCACGCAAAACGACCGTGGATGTCAGATTGTGCCACGCCTGCCACGTGAAACGAAGGTGGATGTCACCAAGTGCCACGCCTGCCACGCAAAGTGCCGCGGCGTCACGGGCGACAAATCCGGGCCCAAGGGCGCCACCCAATGCCATAAGTGCCACGCCTGCCACGCAAAACGACCGGGGATGTGAGTTTGTGCCACAGCTGCCACGTGAAACGAAGGTGGATGTCACCAAGTGCCACGCCTGCCACGCAAAGTGCCGCGGCGTCACAGGCGACAAATCCGGGCCCAAGCGCGCCACCCAATGCCATGAGTGCCACGCCTGCCACGCAAAACGACCGTGGATGTCAGATTGTGCCACGCCTGCCACGTGAAACGAAGGTGGATGTCACGAAGTGCCACGCCTGCCACGCAAAGTGCCCCGGCGCCACCCAATGCCATAAGTGCCACGCCTTGTGAAGTTATTGTATGTGAGAGATGGTATGTGACAAAGTTGTGTGTGCGGAGTGTGTGTGAAGTTATGGTATGTTCAGTTTGTGTGTGTGAAGTTATTGTATGTGAGAGATGGTATGTGACAAAGTTGTGTGTGTGAGTGTGTATGAAGTTATTGTATGTTAAATTTGTGTGTGTGAAGTTATGGTATGTGAGAGATGGTATGTGACAAAGTTGTGTGTTTGTGTGAGTGTGTGTGTGAAGTTATTGTATGTTAAACTTGTGTGTGTGTGAAGCTATGGTATGTGAGTGTGAAGTTATTGTATGTGAGAGATTGGTATGTGAGAAAGTTGTGTGTGAAGCTATTGTATGTTAAATTTGTGTATGCGAAATTGTTGTATGTTAAATTTGTGTGTGTATGTAGTTATGGTATGTGACATGTGTGGAGGTGGAGGCAGGCGGGCGGCGGGAGGCGGAGGAGCCCGGGATACAGAATCAAAAACAAGAACCCCACACAAAGTTGTGGGGAACAATTCTGCGACGCTTCTTTTATTTTTCAACCTAACAACGTCTAAAACCGCAGCAGTTCTGCGAGACTTCCTCAATGTTTGAACTTAACAACGTCAAAAACAAAGCAATTCTGCGAGACTTCCTTCAAGAATGGAAAGCTGAGTGCAGGGCTGACGGCCTCGTACCAATGCGTTTTGCGATTTTTCCACTCCACCTGTGTAAAGTACTGCGCCTGCTAAGAAAAATTGATGCCAGGTCATACGAAGTGCTGCACCTGTCACGCAAAATCATCTCAGCAAACCTGAAGATCTGATACTCCAAAATGCAACCCCTCTCAGGAAATGAGCGCCCTGACCTCCGAACATCTCTGATGAACATGTCTTTTGTACTGCACCTGCCACGCGAAATGCATCTTTGAAGATCCTCTTCAAATGCCCCACGCAAGCCATCGTTTCTGGAAATGCAACAAAACCCTCACGTTTTGCTCACTTTTGACAAGGTGCACAATCCTTTCCGCCTGCCACGCAAAACGACATCTGCACCTCCAAAAAGTGGCGCGAAACATGTGGTGTTTTGTACATTTTCACTTCGAAATGTGCTTCGCGCCACAACAGCTGCACTTTTTCGACATCTCAACTTTAAAAGTGCTCCGAAGCTGGTGTGCTTTATACATTTTGACCTGGAACCGTGCTTCGCGCCACAACGGCGTGCACTTTTTCGACATCTCAACGTCCAAAAGTGGTCCGAGGCTGAAGTGCTTTGTACATTTTGACTTGGAAATGTGCTTCGCGCCACAACGGCGTGCACTTTTTCGACATCTCAACTTCCAAAAGCGGTCCGAGGCTGAAGTGCTTTGTACATTTTGACTTGGAAATGTGCTTCGCACCACAACGGCATGCGCTTTTTTGACATCGCAACTTCCAAAAGTGGTCCGACGCTGAAGTGCTTTGTACATTTTGACTTCGAAATGTGCTTCGCGCCACAACGGCGTGCACTTTTTTGACATCTCAACTTCCAAAAGTGGTCCGACGCTGAAGTGTTTTGTACATTTTGACTTCGAAATGTGCTTCGCGCCACAACGGCGTGCAATTTGTCATCTCTCATCTGGCCAGCTGGCTCCGCACCCGCCGCTTTAGCGAGCCTACTTTTTGACCCTCCGGAGCCACAAATCATTGGAAAAACACAGTGTTTCGCGACTTTCCTACCTTTTCGCGCATCTGCATCTTCTTTCTCCTGACTCTTTCTCTTCTACTCTTCTCTCTTCTAATCTTTCTCCTCTGTCTGCCTCTGCCCTGCTCTGCTTTTCATCTGTCCATATTGTCGGAAGTTTGACTTCTAAACTTCCTTCGATAAATGGATATAAGTGGTGAAACATGACCAAATTTACGTTCACCACTTCCATGTGCTGTCCAGTCTTGGCTGTTGCACCTGGCAATGGGTCTCCACAAAGCAGCATCTCGACAGCATGCCCAGCATCGTTCTGACCGTGAAAACCCGTAGGAACATGAAGCACGCAGGCTGTCTCACCGAAGTGTTGGATGTAATAGGTATCCCTAATTCTATCGTTATCACCAGCAAGCGCCTTTATGAACGAGGTCCCACAAACAAAGTCATAGTTTGACAGATCGATGCCGAGCATTTCCATAATAACAATGCCCAAACGGCATGACCCTGGTGCTGCAGGGTATTTATGAGCTGCCGTGAGGCTGTTACTTGCGAAGGACATAGGCTTAACCTGTGGAAGTGGTGCCGGTAATGCCGGGATCTTGACCCGTGGAGGCTCTTTGAGGCTGCAGCGTTCCAACATCTCTCGAAGGTACGGAGCTTTGGTCAGCTTGTGAATTTTACAACCTTCCTTCCTGGTATCATCCCAGTGGACTACCACTCTGGATTTGATCTGCAACCAGTTCGGATCTTCAATGAGCATAGCAATCTCATCATTGACTTCTTCCAATTTTTCTGCCTTTAGCTGCATCGCAGGGATGGCAGAAAGAATCTCATCCACTTTGAAGTTCAGCTCCCGATGGAACTCTGCAATCTCAGGCTCTAAGAGCACTTCTTCCAGGTCTGCCAAACCAAAATGTTCACGTTCAAAACGCTCGGCAAACTCAGGCCTTTCCTCCACAACGTTCATACGGTGCTTCTGACCCCGTAAGTGCTGTGCAGCTTGACTAAGGCTCGACACTTCAGTGTTGCAAAGGAAACATGTCGGAGCCGTCGGAGACTGGGACTTTGCCTTGCCCTTGCCTTTGCCACCTTTGCCACCCTTCCCCTTTGAATGCGTCCTTTGCGCACTGCGAGAATGGTTCTCAATCTTTGAATGCATCTTTCCAATGCATGCTTCAACATCTGCCTTTGCGCCCTCCACCATCACCGGGCCCTCCTTTTTGCCACGAGGAACTTGGATCC